TTGTACGACGCTGTAGTTGCACGCTACTCCTCCCCTTCCTCCGCTACCCTTAGCCGCCTCATGCTACCGTTTCTCTTCCCTGACCTCGCTTCCTTTCCCACTGTCGCTGACCTCGTTACCCACCTCCGTGCTAGTGACACCCGCTACCGCGCTGCCCTTCCTGCTGAGTTCCGCGCTGCGAACCCTCCTCCCATGTACATCACTCTCTACTTTCTCGTCACCCGTCTCCCTGAGTCCCTTCGTGTCGTTAGGGACCAGTTTCTCTCTGTCTGTCCCACCACTCTCACTGTCGACCTCCTTGAGGAGTCCCTGCTAGCGGCTGAGAAGAGCATTGTCGGTGTAGGGGCCTCTCGGGGTGACCCTCGTACCCCCATCTTTGAGGGGTGTGGTCCTTCCCCCCTGCTGCCCTCTGTCGCCTCTGCCGCTGCGGCCGACCTCACTGGTTTTGAGTCGGTCGGCGCGGCGTCTGCCCCCAGCGGCAGACGCCGCTCTGGCAAGGGCAAGGGGGGCAAGGGAGCGGGTGGAGCTAGAGGGGGCGGTGGAGGAGGCGGTGGGGGTGGCGGGGGGAGTGGGGGTGGCGGTGGGGGTGGTGGCGGGAGTGGAGGGACAGGTGGCGGCGGTGGAGGCGGAGGTGGCGGCGGAGGTGGTAGCGGAGGAGGCGGTGGGAGCGGTGGGAGCGACGGTCATGGTGGGGGAGGTGGCGGTGGAGACGGGGGTGGCGGTGGAGGCGGGGGTGGCGGTGGAGGCGGGGGTCGGAGTGGCTCGTCCCAGCGGAGCAGCTCTGGGGGTGGTCAGCGCCAGCAGCAGCAGCAGCAGCAGCCGCAGCAGCAGCCACAGCAGCAGCAGCGCTCTCGCACCGTCCCCGGCCCTCAGCAGCTCCGTGAGTGGTACTCGCAGCGTCAGCGTGGTGGTGCGCTTGGTCCTTGCCCCTACGTTCTTCGCACCGGTGACCGTGCAGGGGAGAGGTGTGGAGGCGCCCACACAGCCCGCCGCTGCTTTGGCCGCCTGACTGACGCCTGGCGTCAGCAGTTTCCGGAGGCAGCTGAGATCCCCCGCTGGGGAGAGCTGTCTAGGGCTGGTGTAGCTATTTATGATCTTGATTTTGATGATATTCTCTCTGCTATGTATGCTGCGATTGGTAGTGATGAGGATGACTGTTACCGGTGTTTCCCGCCCGACCCGGGCATTGGTACTGCCGCGTCAGGTACTAGTGAGGCTGCTGCTCTAGGTGCCAGTGCGTCTGTGCTCTCAGGTGCTGGTGAGTCTGCCCTCTCAGGTACTGTGTCGGCTTCGGCCTCTCACACATTCACCCTTGACTCTGGAGCGTCTCGCTCCTTCTTTAGGGACCGCACCACTCTCACGCCGCTGAGTCGGCCGGTTGCGGTGTCCCTGGCTGACCCCTCTGGGGGGCCTGTCCTGTCTCGCTTCTCCACTGTCCTCCCGTGTCCGGCGGCCCCCTCTGGCACCCTGACTGGTCTCTACCTCCCCTCGTTCTCGACGAACTTGGTGAGTGGTGCTGACCTCCAGGATGCGGGTGTCCACCAGTTCACCCCTGCTCGTCAGCGGGTGACCCACTGCACGGAGGCGGATACAGGTCGCCACCTGGCTACGTTTACACGTCGGCCAGGGTCGAGCCTGTACACACTGACCACTGCTTCTCCTCCAGGTGCTGAGTCTGGTCAGGTGTTTGCTGCAGCGTCCAGGTCTGGTCCTGAGTCTGCCCCCTGCTCGTGCCGTCGTCTGTCTCACGAGACCCTCCTCTGGCACCACCGCCTTGGCCACCCCTCTCTGCTTCGGCTCAGAGGCATGGCCTCGCGAGTCCTTGTGTCTGGTCTTCCCCGGTCTCTCCCTCCCCTTCCTCCGGGCCCTGGCCCCACCTGTGTCCCCTGTGTCGAGGGGCGCCAGCGTGCTGCCCCTCACTCCTCCCAGTTTCCTCCGACAGAGGCCCCGTTGCAGACGCTTCACATGGACGTGTGGGGCCCAGCCCGCGTCCGTGGACAGGGTCAGGAGCGCTACTTCCTGCTGGTGGTTGACGACTACTCGCGTTACACCACAGTCTTCCCCTTGCGCAGCAAGGGTGAGGTCACTGAGGTGTTGATCGACTGGATCCGCGCAGCTCGTCTCCAGCTTCGGAGGAGCTTTGGCTCTGACTTCCCTGTTTTGCGTCTGCACTCGGACAGAGGCGGAGAGTTCTCCTCTGGCCTCCTGAGTGCCTACTGTCGTGCGCGAGGCATCCGTCAGACCTTCACGCTTCCGGACTCACCACAGCAGAATGGGATTGCTGAGCGCCGCATTGGCATGGTCATGGACGTCGCTCGTACGTCCATGATGCATGCGGCTGCTCCCCATTTTCTGTGGCCGTTTGCGGTCAGGTACGCTGCGCACCAGATCAACCTCCACCCCAGGGTCTCTCGACCGGAGACCTCCCCAGCCCTGCTGTGGACGGGGAAGGTTGGCGATGCGTCGGCGTTCCGGGTCTGGGGATCTCGGGCGTTTGTTCGCGACCTGTCTGCGGACAAGCTGTCCCCTCGTGCTTCTCCCTGCGTCTTCCTGGGGTTCCCCCCCGACGCCCCTGGGTGGCAGTTTTACCACCCCACCTCTCGACGTATTCTGTCCTCCCAGGACGTCACGTTCGACGAGTCGGTACCCTACTACCGCCTCTTCCCCTACCGCACTCCGTCCCTCCCCCCACCCCCGCTCTTCTTGGTACCAGGTCCCCCCCCGGTAGTCCCCCTCCCCCCTCAGGGTCCTGCCCCTTCAGGTGTGTCCCAGGTAGACGCGGTCGAGCCTGTCGAGGTCACTGGTGACTCTGGTGCTGCTGCGGGATCTGAGCCTGGGGGTGCGGAGTCTGGGGGTGCTGAGCCTGGAGGTGCCGAGTCTGGGGGTGCTGAGCCTGGGGGTGCTGAGCCTGGGGGTGCTGTGCCTGGGGGTGCTGAGCCTGGAGGTGCCGAGTCTGGGGGTGCTGTGCCTGGGGGTGCTGAGCCTGGAGGTGCTGCGCCTGGGGGTGCTGTGCCTGGGGTTGCTGAGCCTGGGGGTGCTGTGCCTGGGGGTGCTGTGTCTAGGGGTGCTGAGCCTGGAGGTGCTGTGCCTGGGGGTGCTTCGTCTCGCCGGGAGCCACTCTCCCCACAGGAGCTGCGTGAGTGGTTTGCCAGGCGCTGGAGGCGTGCTGCTGGTGCTGGTGGTTCTTCGGCTGCAGAGGGTACTGCTGCCGCGCGTCCCGCCGGTGCTCGTACTGTGGGTGCTGGAGCTGCTGGGTCTGAGAGTTCTCCTGGAGCTGGTCCTGCTGAGGGTGTTGGCGCTGAGCCTGCCGTTGGCGGTCCGACTGACAGTGCTCCTGGTGCTGCGGCTGGAGGTTCTGGAGCTTCTGGTGGTGCTGCTGGAGGTGCTGCTGGAGTGGGTGCTCCTGCCGGGGCTGCTGGTGCTGTTCCTGCTGTTTCTAGCGTCGCCGCGCGGCCCCGACCGTACTTCGTTCCGCTCCTGCAGCAGGTTCTTGGTCTTACACCTCCTCCTCCTCCCTTAGAGGGTCCGCAGCCTGTCCGGTCACAGCCACAGCTACAGCCTGCCTCCCCTTTGCCTGCTCCTTCTCCCTACGCTGGTCCGACCCGTCGCTGTTTCTGCGCACCGACACCTCTCTGCCGCCGTTCTACATCCTCGTGTACGTCGACGACTTGGTCTTTGCCACAGCTGACACTGCTGGACTCGCCTACGTGAAGTCCGAGCTGCAGAAGAGACACACGTGCACTGACCTGGGTGAACTGCGCAGCTACCTTGGCTTGCAGATCACCCGGGACAGAGCACGCCGCACCATTACCCTGACTCAGTCACACATGGTGCAGCAGGTCCTTCAGCGCTTCGGCTTCACGTACTCCTCGCCTCAGGCCACTCCTCTGCCTACTCGCCACTCGCTCTCAGCTCTGCCTTCGGATGAGTCCGTAGAGTCGAGTGGCCCGTTTGCAGAGCTTGTTGGCTGCCTCATGTACCTGATGACCTGCACACGACCTGACCTCGCATACCCTCTTAGCATTCTCGCACGCTTTGTTGCTCCTGGGAGACACCGACCAGAGCACATGGCTGCAGCGAAGAGGGTGTTGCGCTACTTGTGCAGTACGTCGGGCATGGGGCTAGTGCTTGGAGGGCGCAGTCCAGTGGTCCTCACTGGGCACGCAGACGCTTCTTGGGCTGACGACCAGGCTACGCAGCGGTCGTCACAGGGTTACACCTTCAGCCTTGGTTCCGGCTCTGTCTCGTGGCGGGCTACCCGCTCGTCTTCTGTTCTCGGCTCCAGTTGTGAGGCTGAGATCTACGCTGGGGCTATGGCTGCACAGGAGTTACGCTGGCTCACCTACCTGCTGACCGACCTTGGAGAGCAGCCTCGTTCTCCTCCAGTCCTGTACGTAGACAACAAGGCCATGCTGGCCTTGTGTCGAGAGCAGCGACTGGAGCACAGAACGAAGCACATTGCTCTTCGCTACTTTCTTGCTCGTGAGCTACAGCAGCGTGGACAGCTGCGACTTGCGTACGTGGCCTCTGAGGCCAACACTGCTGATGTCTTCACCAAGGCACTTGCGCCTTGTGATCATCAGCGTTGCTGCACGCAGTTGGGTCTTGTGCCTGTCTTGCCTCACTTGCTTTCCTCTTGACCTTGCTTGTACCTTCGCATATATATACTCTTGTTCTTGTATATCTCTATATATGATCTTGCATGTGAACTGGCCTTGTGGCCTTTGAACTTGTGCTCGGAATGCGTGGTGACTTTGTGATCCACCCTGAGCTTTGCTTTGCTTGACTGGTCTTGTGACCCCTTGTTCTCCCCCCACTTTGCCTATGGGGGTGTGTCAGAACATATAGCTTACTTGTTTGTGTAGGCTATAGTGGGGTATCCCATAGGGGGTACAACACATTAGGGTTTCCTATTTGTATTCACTTCACTTCATACTCATTCATTCTCGTTCTTTGTTTTCACACAATGTACCACTCACGAAGCTGCTGAGGGGACAGGGTCAAACCACTCTGCTGCTATTGGCGCGGACCACCACCTGAGCCACTCCTCTGCGCAGAGTCGCGACCGGCTCCACCACCGCCGCCGCCGCCGCCTCCGCCGCCTCCTCCACCTCCGCCTTCTCCGCTACCTCCGCCGCCTCCGCTCCCTCTGCCACCTCCACCGCCTCCGCCTCCTTCACTGCTGCCGCCGCCGCCGCCACCCCGGCACCACTCCCACCACCACCCCCACTCCCTCCATTGCCTCCACCACCACCTCGACCGCCCCGTCCAGCCCCTCCAGTGCCCTTGCCCCCCTTGCCCCTGCCGGTGCGGCGTTTCCTGCTCGGGGCAGACGCAGCACCGACGGACTTGAAACCAACGAGGTCGGCCGCAGCAGCAGAGGTAACAGAGGGCAAGAGGGGGGAGGGAGAACACCCCTCAAAGACGGGGGTGCAATGGTCACCACAAGAGGCTCCTACAGCGACTATGCTCTTCTCTATCGCTAGGAGGGCCTTCTCGAGAAGGTCAACGGTAAGAGTGGTGGGACAAACTGAGAGGAAGTGGTCCCTGACTACGCGAAGAGAGTTAGGAAGCCGGGTGACTATGTAGTAGAGGGTGATGTACATGGGGGGGCGGGGTTCTTGGCGCAGAACTCAGCAGGAAGCGCAGCGCGGTAGCGAGTGTCACTAGTGCGGAGGTGCGTAATGAGGTCAGCGACTGTGGGAAAGGCAGCAAGGTCAGGGAAGAGGTACGGTAACATGAGGCGGCTCAGTGCAGCAGTGGCAGGGGAAGAGTAGCGTGCAACTACAGCGTCGTACAAGGTCTGAGCACTCTTGTACTGGCTAAAGTGTGCACGCTCAGTGGTCGGTAAGTGGCGGCGCACAGCAAGGCGAGCAGTAGCATCGCGCGTTGCCCACAGTGAGCGAACAGTGGCGTCAGCATCAGCAGCACGGGTAGGAGAGGCACCAGAACTGAGGTCAAACAAGGAGAGGCCGTCTGCCCTATCGCAGTGAAGAAGCCGCTGGAGGTCATCGACCCAGACCTCAAAGTCAACGGCACGGCCCTCAGCATCAAAAGTGAGGACACTGGGGGTAGCCATGACTGTAGTGGCCTAGCAGGAAGTGGGCTCACCAGTCCGAGGAAGGAGGGGCCGGGGAGCACCGGTAGGAACAGCAGCTGCTAGACAGTAGGGCGGCTCGGCGACTCGGCGGCTCGGCGGCAGGGCGGCTTGGCTGCAGGGCGGCTCGTCTGCTGGGCGGCTCGGTGGCAGGGCGGCTCGGCTGCTGGGCGGCTCGGCTGCTCATCGGCTCGGCTACGAGACGGCTCGGCTGCTGGGCTGCTCGGCTGCTCGGTAGGCGGGCGGCTCGGCTGCTGTGCTGCTCAGCGGTCAGTCGCTGGGCGGCGGAGCGGTGATAGGGCCGCTAGGGTAGGGTGATTGGGCCGCGGGTGACAGCGACAGGGCCGTAGGTGGCTGCGACGGGGCCACAGGTGGCGGCAAGGCCGCAGGTGGCGCTGGGGCAACAGTGGGGCCGAGACGGGGCCGAAAGGGGCCTAAGCCGGGGCCGAAAGGGGCCTAGACGGGGCCGAAAGGGGGCCTAGACGGGGCCGCAAGGGGCTAGACAGGGCCGCGGAGGGGCCTAGACGGGGCCGCGGAGGGGCCTGAACGGGGCCGTAAAGGGGCCAAACGGGGCCGCAGAGGGGCCTAAGTGGGGCCGCAGAGGGGCCGAAACGGGGTCGTAAGGGGCCAGACGGGGCCGCGGAGGGGTCTAGACGGGGCCGCAAGGGGCCTAGACGGGGCCGCGGAGGGGCCGTAAGGGGCCTAGGCGGGGTCGTAAGGGGCCGTGAGGGGCCAGACGGGGCCGCGGAGGGGTCTAGACGAGGCTGTAAGGGGCCTAGACGGGGCCGCGGAGGGGCCGTAAGGGGCCAAGGCGGGGCCGTAAGGGGCAAGACGGGGCCGAGGAGGGGTCTAGACGGGGCCGCAAGGGGCCTAGACGGGGCCGCGGAGGGGCCGTAAGGGGCCTAGGCGGGGCCGTAAGGGGCCTTAGAGGGCGACGCGAGGGGCCGTAAGGGGCCGTAAGGGCGGCGCGAGGGGCCTTAAAGGGCGGCTTGAGGGGCCGTAAAGGCGGCCAAAGGGGCCACTAAGGGCGGCTCGAAGGTAGGTAGGGCACACGAAACGCGACTCGGGTAGGAGTGAAGCGCGCTCCACGCAGGGAAAAAAAAATTGGGGTGGGCCCTAGGCAGCATTCCCACTCGGGAACCTGCTCGATACCATGACGAGAAACGAGAATGGATGAAATATGAAAGAGTTGGGTACAAGTACTAACCCTAATTGGGTTGTACTCCTTATTGGCTACCCCACTACAGCCTACACAAATGTATAAGCTATAATGTTCTGACACTTTTTCGCCCAACCCTCTTCCTTTATCCCACACTCGCGTTTGCCCTTCGTCCGTTCTCACACACATGGTTTTCTGCCCTTTCCCCATCCTTGCACTTTACCTCTCCTGCTCATTCCTCTCCCCTTCTCGTTCCACCTTCCTGCATTTTTCCATCAAAATACACATACGTACATACCTTTCATGTTACATTCACCTCGTTGCTCCTCTCGACGTCTGAGTCTTATCTCCACCACCACCTCTGCTTTACATTCCCTTCCACTCGCAGCCCCTCGGCACTACAGCAGTCCTTGCAGGGGAAGAGTTCAAGGTGAAAACGCATTCAGAGGGAAAGGGGAAGGACAGGGGGGTAGGGCCAGTGAATGAAGCTAGGGATATCATGCAACGGACAAAGGAGGAGAGGAGGGGAGGGGATGGCGTGGAGGGGACAGCAGGTGGGGAGCAAAGTGCTGCGGGAGAGGCAGATGGGCCACCGGGGAACGACCCGCTACTTCCTGTGGAGCATTGGGCGGAAGATGCGGGGCTGTGCCTTCAAGGGGCCAGCAGTAGGGCAGCAGCAGGGCAGCCGTCACGTGGAGAGGTGCAGAGTGCATTGGTGGGGACGAATCTCAGTGAAAAGGCACTCAAAGCGTGGCTGCAGGAGGAAATAAACACCTTGCTGCTGCTCGTCTCTCCAGACAAGCAGATGATTCAGAAACGTGTGATCAACCAGACAGTCTTCTTTCTCTCTTCTCTGTCCCCCAAGACACAGCAGATCTCCCTTACAGCTCAACGAATCACCCCCGAAACGCAGCAGCTGAACCCAGCAGCACAGCAGATTACCCCTGAATTACAAGAGATCACCCTCTCCCACCCCAACCTCCGTTACTTTCTCTCACTTGCTCCCACCTGCTGCCCCACCCTCCTCCCCTCCCTTACCTCCCTCACACTCAACCAATGCTCCAAGGTCTCTCATCGTGACATGCTCTCCCTCCGCCACCTTCCCTCCCTCACCTCCCTCTCCTTCCTTCGAACCCCCATCGCTCCAAACGCCCTCTCCCTCATCCAGCCCTTCTCTCACCTCCACCAACTCGTGCTCGACTGCCCTGGTCCCTCAACCCTGGCCTTCAACATTGGGCCCTGGCCGCTGAAGAGCCTGAAATCCTTGCATGTGAGTCGTGTGACTGAATCAGTTCTGAAGGATGTAGGCATGCTGTGGAGCCTGGAAGTCCTCTCCTGCACATGCTGTGAGGGGGTGGGTTATACGGGATGGATTTCCCTGCTTACGTTGAAACGGCTGAAGCGTCTATGTGTAGCACCAGCGGATCTGGTCGGGCATGGTCTGAAGATGAACTATCCCAAGGGAAGCTTGCTGGTGGTCTCGCGAGTGTGTGCAAGGCCATTGAAGATGCAAGGAGGCATTCTTCAAGGGAAACTTCAATAGGGTGCACACATGAAATGCTTGGAATTGCAGAGCCAAGATGGCAAGCGTGGGATGTGGAATTTGATAGACGTGCTGCATGGTTTGGAGCATCTGGAGTTGCATGCACTGCCGCGTTACAAGCACGCCTGCATGTCACTGGAAAAGCTGTGACTTCTCATCACTCTCCAAATCACCGGGGCTTTCCTCGACAATGCCGCTTTCAAATGGTTGACTCGTGTGACTTGGTTGACCCACCTCAGCCTGGCTGGCTGCACGTTCACAGCAGACAGCGTGGTGATGAAAATAAAAGACTCCATGCCGAACCTCAAGTCCCTCGACCTGTCAGGAACGGCAATCACCAAGGAGGACACCGTCCACCTGCAATTTCTGAAGCACTTGGAGCGCGTGACACTGCAGCAGTGCTGCAACCTAGGCCAGTCTTTTGTGCGTTTCCTCATCTTCGTGCCGCAGCTCAAGGAGCTGGATCTGGGCTTTAACACCATGCCGGCTGTGTGGTTGACGCCTATTGTGGATGGGAAGCGGGTGCGGCGGCTGAGTGTGAGGGGGTGTGGGTACAAGGAGAAGACGGTGCGTGGGCTTAAGCGGCTTTGGATTGTGATTGGGTCTTGATGTGATGGTTGTTGCTGGGATCCAAGATGCATGTTGCATGGCATTAGGTGTATGGCATGTGGCGTATGGCATGTGGCGTATGGCATGTGGTGTATGGCATGTGGCATATAGCATGTGGCGTATGGCATGTGGTGTATGGCATGCGGCGTATGGCATGTGGTGTAGAGCATGTGGTGGTCAATATTTAGTTGCATGCAAGTGAAGGAGTACGGTATGTGGGCTTATATTTATATGGTGTGAAGTGTGTGGCAGTGATGGGTGTATGGTATGTCCTGGATGGAACGAGGGGCATCATGCAACGCGCATGGCATCACGCACGATGGAGCATGCGTTTTTTGCATGTGGGAGGTGAAATGCTAGTCGGGTCATTTTGTGTGTAGTCTATCGTGCTCCATAATCCACATAGTGCTATTCAGTGTGTATCGTTTGGAAGGTTGTAGATACCATCATTAGAATTCTAAACATATAGCCTACATGAGGCCTTTTGCATAATCAGTTGGAAACTAGGGATAATAGCAAAAGTTGAACCAGATTTGCCGAATAGAATGTTTAGTGCACAACATTATGGTGTTGTGAAAAACAAGCGTTTATGGTTATGGTGATACACATCTCTAAAACCAGCTGCTTATTCAACGTGGTGTTGCTACCACCACTCACAATTCAAACTTCTAATAGACAGCATGCACAATGCAACACACACCTGCACCATACGCCGATGTCAAGTAACTCATACTGTATGTTCCATGCATCCCAACATGAATCACTGACCCCCAGAGTCAATCTCAATCCAAGCCCGTTGAAGCCCTTTCAACGTCTTCGCCACAAAACAACAGCCTCTCACTTCTAGCCGAGTCACCTTCTTCCCTTCCAGAACCGGCAGCAGCCAAGCATGCTGCATGTTGTTGAAGCCCAAATCCAACTCCCTCAGCGCAGGAACACGGCTCAGGTGCTGCACAAAGAGCTTGCTCATGCCGCTGCACTGCTGCAGCTTCAATCGCTCCAGCCGCTCTAGCCCTTGCAGATGCACAGCCACTCTAGCCCTTGCAGATGCACAGCCGCTCTAGCCCTTGAAGATGCACAGCCGCTCTAGCCCTTGCAGATGCACAGCCGCTCTAGCCCTTGCAGATGCACAGCCGCTCTAGCCCTTGCAGATGCACAGCCTCTCCTTGGCTGATTGCCGTTCCCGACAGGTCCAGCGTCTGCAGCTGTGTCATGCCTTGAATCACCAACCTTACAGCCCGATCTGCGTCGAACGAGCAGGTAGCCAGGCTGCGTTCCGTCAGCACGCCCACTTGCTGCAGAGTAGAGTCAGTCACCCGGCTCACTTGCAGCTCCTGCAAGCCTGCAAACGGCTAAAAGGGCTGGATTTCGCTGGCGGGGGGATCAGATGGGGGGGGCAGGTTGGCTTGACTGTTGGCTGGTGGGTTGGAAAGCAAGGCAAAGGGCTTATAGCAGGCGATGACGAGGCGGTGGAGCTGAGTGGCGGACCGGAAGAGTGGCAGGGCGTCTGAAGCGATAGAAGCTGCGTAGAAGTGAAGTGTTGTGAGGGAGGGGAGGCGGAGGAGCTGATCCGCGACTGCTGACGTAATGTTCTCATGCTGGGAGTTGAGATCGGTGAGGACAAGGGTTGAGAGGGATTCTAGGAAGCCTGGGTAGCAGTGGGGAGTGAGCAGGAGGTAATAGCTAAGAGAGTAGGTATGGAGAGAGAGCCTTTTTACGCTTGTGTCTTGGTTTGCGAGGCAATCAACCACATCGTCAATTCTTTCAATAGTCTTTTTTTGCTCCTCGGGGTGGATGTGCAGCAGCAAGCTGTTGACCTTTCCCTTGAGCGGTGCCATCACCTCCTCTTCGCTCGCTCTCCCACGCACCTTAACCGGGCTGCTCTTCTTCACTGGCCATTGGAACCCACTCCCCATCGGCCATGGAAGCCCACTCCCCACCGCCTATTGCTGTCCCACCCCCATCGGTCATGGAAACCCCCTTCCTACTAGCCTTTGGGGCCCCCACCCCACCTGCATTCCTCCTGCTATCCCCGCCCAGCCCTCTGCTCCCATGTGTGCATGCCTCTCCTCCACAGTAGTGGTAACCGCTCCTCCTGAATCCAATCTCGTCCCCCCTCTGCTCCCCGCACTGTGGCCGACGGAGATGAGAGGCTGAGGTGTACCAGCGGGGGGATGGGGGAGTGGTGGGATGAGGGCACGAGTGAAAAGTGTAGAGAACCGTGAGCGCGAGAGGGAGGAGCGGGCATAAATGGATGGAGGAGGAGGTTCAGAGGAGAATAGGGGGAGGGTTGGGATGTGACCGAAAGTGAGTGTTGGCAGTAGGTGCAACAGCACAAGTAGAAAACTTTCGACAGAAAGCAAGAGCGATATGAGATTGGTCTATGTGAAGATGAAGAATTGGAGAAGAGCAAGAGAGAACCGGGGAGAGTGACTAGGGGTGGGTGGAAGGAGAGTACCGAGGGCAGGGATGAGGGTAACATGGAACGGGGAAGTACATTGGGGAGAGCAGGGACTGGAAACGGGGAATTAAGTTGGGAGGGCATGGAGTGGAAAGGGAGATTACAATCTCGCTTATAATCGCCTCAATTGCACCTCACCCCTCTCACCAATCGCCCCCACAAATCGCCCCTCGCACCTCCCCCCACTCACCTGCAACATGGAAAGGTTGTCAACCACCTCCTCTTGCATGGCTCTTTCCTCAGCAACCGCTTGCCCCACTGACTCCCTGTCCACATCGCCTGCTCGCCCCTCCCCTGCCCCTTGCTCTGCCCCTTGCTCTGCCCCTTGCTCTGCCCCTTGCTCTGCCCCTTGCTCTGCCCCTTGCTCTGCCCCTTGCTCTGCCCCTTGCTCTGCCCCTTGCTCTGCCCCTTGCTCTGCCCCTTGTTCTGCCCCTTTCTCTGCCCCTTGCTCTGACCCTGTGCCCATCCCCTCCTCTCCCACCACTTCGTTTGCTTGCCCGTCCTCCGCCTCGTCCCTTGCTCCTTCCTCTTGCTTGAACCCGAATTTTTCCTCAAACTCTTGTCTTTCATTCTCAGAAACTTCAAGCCCGTCTCCCGTCACCTTGTCCATTCTCTTTGTTGTTTCCTCCACCTCGTACCTCGTCCCCATCTTCTGCGCCTCCTCCTCCCCCTCTTCGTTCTCCTGTTCCCACTGCTTCTCCCCCCCTTCCTCTTTCTGCTCCCTCATTGTATCCGCATCAGCCGCCTTCCGACCCTCAACCCCGAACACCAGCCTCCTCACTGCCTGCACCATTGAACGAATGGCCTCCGCATGGCCAGACAGAGCCGCCAGATGCTGCCACGTGGATGATCTGACAACGGGGGATAGGGAGCGAACGGGTGTGGGGGGGTGAAGCCACAAGGTGAGCAGGCAATGTTTTCTTGGCTCGAGTTTGCAAACCTGACTTGCACTAGAGGACAGGAGTCGTCGGTAAGACCGTTCACTTTACTCTCAGAACCACTGACCCAATGGCGCCTGCATCACAGGGAGATTTGCCACACGCTTCAAGTCATGAGGGTATCAGGGCAAGGAGCGAATGGGCGGGGGGGGTTGCGATGGAGTAATGCAGAGGCCGAGCGCGCAGAAGGAGCTAAGAAAGGGGAAGATGCCTACCAGGTCCTGTCAGATGGTGCGAGAGAGATAGAAACCTTCATGAACCGGGAGAGAACCAAGGGTGTGGCACATAGAGAGAGGTGGGGTATAAAGAAGGGAGAAAATAAAGCTGGGGTACAGGAAATGAAGGGAGTCAGGGGGTGGAGGAAGGGAGTGACACAGGTGGGCAGGTAGAGAGGGAAGGGAGAAGAGAGAAGGGAGGATGCGGAGGCAGGGAAGGCAAGGAAGGGTGGGCAGAAGGGATTAGAGCAAAGGAGTAAGAGGGCGACCGATGAGAGGGACGAACGCAGTTGTAAAGAGTGAGGAAGGCAAGAGTAGAAAGAGGGGGAATTGGGGGAGGGGGAGAGGGTGAGAGGAAAGAGGGAACTGGGAAGAGGGTGACAATGCAGGGTGGGAGTATGCAGGGAGGGGCAAGAGGAAATTCGGATGGCGTGCATGAGAATAACTTGGAAAAGGTATGCCAGGGAATTACAGGGCATACATGGGGTGGCATAGGTCGCGTGCTCACATCCGCCTTACGGTACGGATGCATAGTATGGTGCATGGGGTTGCACGTGGGACATGCGCAACCCCACGATGAGCTATGAGGAGGGCATGTCATGATGGCCTGGCATGGCATAATGGCATGGCATCGCATGGCATGATGGTATGGCACGGCAAGATGGCGTGGCATGATGGTATGGCACGGCATGATGGCATGACATGATGGCATGGCAAGGCATGATGGCATGGCATGATGGTATGGCCATCGGGAAAAGAGCGGGTGTGGTTTCCAAGTTGGAAACCAGTCGTAAGCGATTGGTTTTCGACTGCAGGCGTTTTCCCCGATGAAGCGTGTGGTTTGCGTGTATAGTAGCTTGTTGCTCGCGAGAAGGTTTCGACTGGTCGAGCAGCTGGAAGCCAAACCTGAAGATTTGGCTTGGATAATTTCGACGAACTGAACGGAGACAAGCGGCGCATCGGCAGTGGGCGGAAATTTTTTCCGATTGGTTGTCGCGTCAGCAATATCGACACGATAAACACTGCTTCGGTTGTTGGAATCTGGATGTTGAACTAAGGTCGTTATTTTTTACACGTCTCGTTCAAAATTGACGGCCCAGCGAAAGTGATGCAAGTCAATTGAAATGATGACGCGGAAGTTAGCGTGTATTGGTTTCTCTGATAAAATTCAATCGTTAACTTTCAGACGGCATTTGTGCATGTAACGGTGGCACTTGTGCATGTAACGGTAGGGCCCAATAGAATGGTAAATATAATAAATTTAATAACTTCCTCTACACCGCACTAACAGTACTCGAAACATAACAAACGTTGCTCAACATTATATATTTACTAAATTGACACTGTATACACAAAATACGTAGCCACATATTACTACAATTACAACTACACTACCTAAATCTAAAACAGTTCTACCTGCACCTGGTACGGATCATGACCCCTGCGATGAGCGCTGGTCGGGACAAGATCATCAGGGGACAGATCCCCAAGCTCATCCCCAGCGAGCTCCTCTTCAGAAATGTCGGTCCAACCGACGATGCATAGCTTCCCGATGCCAATGCACTCTCCCTCGCGCTTAACTTGGCTGGCGTTGATCCAACGCTGCACCACCCGTGCCTGCCTGGCGAGAGCTCCAGGATCCCCGGAACGCGTGAACTGGGCCTTGTTGGAGCAGGGATTGCGCAATTTGGAACGCACCTGAGACAGTTACCACAAAAATTGTAAGCATTACATTAGGATAAAATACCATCCGTAAAACTAGAACTCACCACTGCAAGCAGCACAAGAAGCTGCTCGGGAAACAAGGCAATCGGGAGGGACCCGTCCCACTCAGAGTCCCACAGAGCAGCACATTGAATAAAACCGTCGGTGGAAAACGGGACTCCGTTAAGGACATGCCAGGGTAATCCGAAAAACTCTGCAGTGTGACAATGATAAGGTCAGATACAGGTTTACAGATGGTACAGAAAACGGTGAAGAAGCCTACTTACTGGAATCGTTCCTGGTGACATAGACTTTGCACTTGCTAGAGAAACCCTTGGGCTCGTAGTAAATAGTCAGGCCCTTCAGGCTACGCTTCTCACCCATGAAGACACAGGGCTCGTTAGTCAACGCGAGGATGCGGGTAAGTCGGTAGATCTTACCGATGCGATCATTGAAACGCACACAGGCATGCCTCAGCTTGCCTTGCGACGTCGCAATCGCAGCCACTTTCAAGCCTTCAGGTGAGTCTGGCGTGTGGCCCGAATGCCCTGCATACAAAAAAAATGTAGTCAGCTTCCATAGACTGACAGCAACAACAGAGACAACAGAGGGCAACCCTTACTAATGAGCGACTTGAGCATGTCATCAGAATCGGGAGAGAGATTGAGCATCTCTCGGTTGAACAGAAACTCATCGCAAGCCTTCTTGGTGTAGACCTGCGCGCTACACAAAAGACCTTAGTAATCCGACGTTTCTGGAGGAAATGAAATGCAACTATAATAATTCAACTTACCTCCCAGGTGAGAGCGCCGGCGTCAACTTCCGAGGCCTTCTTAGCAAGGTGCGTGATAAGCACGAGGCAGTCCTTCAATTCCCCCGCCCTACGCGCGTTCTCCTTGCAATATGCATCCGCGATCGCCTTTTGAGTACCCGCCTTGGCTAACAGCTCGTCGTTCACCAAGGGTTCGTCGCGCTCTTCCTCGTCATAAGCTGCGGCCTTAGTAGCGTACACCCGACCTTTAGCGCGTGACATTATCAACTCCATTGGGCTGGCATCAGCCTTTCCTGTTGGTGGACAAAAACAATACGGAACAGCAACATTAGTCATGGTTGCAGGCAACAGAATCCAAGGCTTAGAAAAGTGAGTAGAAGAGTGAATCACCTTTTTCAGCGGCGGGTTCCTTGTCCGCTACGACAGCGACACAGTTATCGATAGTTTCGATAAAAGCAGGGAGATGACCACCGTCACCGGAGCCTTCGGGACCACCAGCAGTGTCGGCAGAGACTGCAGGAGCCTTGTCAGGCTGGCCCGAAGCCTTGGCGGGCTGGCCCGGAGCCTTGGCGGGCTGGCCCGTAGCCTTGGCGGGCTGGGACGGAGCGACACCAGTGGTCGGCGAAGGCTCGGACGTTCCAGCGCCGGCAGCAGCGTTGACATCTTCGAGGCTCCGATGAAAGGTTTTTTGACGCGGGCCCGTAGGGTGACGACCAGCCGGTGGTTCCTCCGTCTCTTTTTCAGTATTGGTTCCTGCATCGTACAGAAACAAAAAAAAGGGAAAAGTAAAAACAAAGATAGTTATGGACATAACTGTAACGAAGGCTAGTGTAACAGGAAAAAACCAAAGTTACCTCCTGCGGGGGATGGATAGAACAAATGCCGTTCCTTGCTTTTCCGCGGAAGCGGTGATCGAGTCTGGTGCATCTTCAAAGAATCAGGGACAAGGAGTTTAGATTTGCCAGGCGCCATGGATTCTAGGGATGAGCCAGTAAAACGAAGCGTATAGCCAGCAAGACGCCTCGCTACAAAATTTATATGCAAAGCAAACGTGACAATACAAAGGAGAGGCTTTGGGTGAAGGAGCCACTAATGAGAGTGCTACAACGACTGAAGATGCACGCACCATGATTGGACACTCCACCAAACCTGCGACAGCGGTCGTAGCGAGTGGAGGCTCGGCATGCGACGCGGGAGTCTTGGCGAGGGTAGAAATGGTAAGGAGGAGGAGTCGAAGTTAGAAATTCAAAATTTGAAATTCTAAAACAAGAAACGACTACACAGCATGTAACCTCACCCCTGCCAACGGGAAAAGGAAATGGGGGGGAGGAAGAGAGAAGGGAAAGGGGATGGTGTGCGGGGTACCAATGATGTGGTTGGCTTGCCGCGTGTGACGAAGTTGATTGGTGGGACGCGCGGTGCACTTCTCACCTGGCTTGGGTCGTGCGAGGGTAGCGTCCGAGAAAAGAAAGGATGTGGGTGGCTATGCAGCGTGTATGTGGACGACGCGCGGCGCGCCCTTCACAGCTAGGGAAAGGGCACACTGTTCAGATGTGCTGGCATGCTGCGCTGCATCAGTTGCGCTAGCATCGGCAGCAGCTTATGACTGGCTGGCATTCGACGGGGATCTGTTGCGCTGGCTGTGGCTTTTGGAATCTTCGACACGTACCGTCCTTGTTGGTGTCCAGCCAGCTAGTGGAGGTACAGTAACGGCAGAAACATGGCACGGCGCGCTAGAACTGTGTTTGGATGTACTGCAGCAAGAACACCGACACAGTAAAACAGGTGCAACAGAACACGAAACCGTCCAAGCTCAGCAGCAGTTTTATTGTCGACGTGGTTCGCCACTTGTGTAGCATTAAATTTTGGATTCACAGAATTGAGACAATGCAGATCTGACGGAGAACTGGGTAAGTCACGAAACCAAAGCGGAACTAGAGGGTGTAAACCAAACCCGAAGTCAGCATTGTTTGGGAGCGAAAGTAGACGTGGGTTGCGGACCGTGCTTACCTAAACTTTGAACAGATTTGAACTAGATGGCGCAAACGGATTGGAAAAAACACCTGCCAACAGTAACATGGTCATAAAAGTTTCAACAGTAATTCTTCCAAAGTCGAGCGTGCAATGCGGCGCAGTGGTAAACGGGATTCAAAGAATCAGATCCCGCGTGCAGTGCGGCCCAGCTTCCACAGTCGTCCGAAAGTGTTCCGGATTTCACGATTGTGTTATTTCTGTGCAGACTCGTCTCAGGAATAAAAGCGCACCCATAAGATAATAGATGCGAATGGATTCAAAAGTTTTACCATATAAAACATCAACTATTGCCTCATTCTGAGCCAAAGATGTCAGAACATATAGCTTACTTATTTGTGTAGGCTATAGTGGGGTATCCCATAGGGGGTACAACCCAATTAGGGTTTCCTATTTGTACTCACTTCGTTCATACTCATTTCATTCTCGTTCAATTCTTCTCATGGAATCAGAGCAGGTCCCCTCCTAGGGACTGTTCCTAGGGCCCACCGAAGCGCGCCCCGAGGCGCGCGTTCTTTTTTTTAGCGACCCTGCGTGTCGCCCCTACCGTCGCGCTCCCGCCGCTCACTCCTCTTACGGCCGCCCGCCCTAGTGCCCTGACGGCCGCCCGCTCTAGCGCCCGAACGCCGCCCGCCCTAGCGCCCTGACGGCCGCCCGCCCTAGCGCCCTGACGGCCGCCCGCCCTAGCGCCCTGACGGCCGCCCGCCCTAGCGCCCTGACGGCCGCCCGCCCCAGCGCCCGAGCGCCGCCCGCCCTAGCGCCCGAGCGCCGCCCGCCCTAGCGCCCGAGCGCCGCCCGCCCTAGCGCCCGAGCGCCGCCCGCCCTAGAGCCCTGACGGCCGCCCGCCCTAGCGCCCGAGCGCCGCTCGCCCTAGCGCCCTGACGGCCGCCCGCCCTAGCGCCCTGACGGCCGCCCGCCCTAGCGCCCGAACGCAGCCCGCCCTAGCGCCCTGACGGCCGCCCGCCCTAGCGCCCTGACGGCCGGCCGCCCGCCCCAGCGCCCGACGCCCGCGAGCCGCCCGTCGCAGCCGCCCGTGAGCTCCCTGAGCCGCCCGCGCCGCCGTCCCTGAGCCGCCTGTGCAGCCGCCCGCGAGCCGCCAGCGAGCCGCCCGTCGCGACACCAGCGCCGCACGAGCCGCCCGTACAGCCCAGCAGCCCGAGCCGCCCGAGCCGCCCGCGCCGCCCCAGCAACCCGAGCCGCCCGAGCCGCCCGAGCCGCCCGAGCCGCGCGAACCGCCCGAGCCGCCCCAGCCGCCCGAGCCGCCCGAGCCGCCCGAGCCGCCCGAGCCGCCCGCGCCGCCCCAGCAACCCGAGCCGCCCGAGCCGTGCCGCTGTTCCTGAGCTGTGTTCCTCTGCTGCTGACCTACCCGACTCTCCCAGCCCGGTGAGACTTTCAGCTGCTGCCATGGCCACCCCCAATGTTCTTACTTTTGACGCTGAGGGGAGGGCCATTGACTTTGCCGTCTGGATTGAAGACCTGCAGCTGTACTTACTGTGTGATGCGATAGATGAGGTCTCTCTCTTTGACTTTGTCTTTGGCGCTGTCCCTGCCCCACCTGCTGATGCTGACTCTGCCGTTCGCTCCAAGTGGGCGACCCGCGATGCTGCTGCACGTCTTGCTGTGCGTCGCCACCTCCCTTCCTCTGAGCGTGCCCACTTTAGTCAGTGCAAGACCGCTCAGGCCTTGTACGACGCTGTAGTTGCACGCTACTCCTCCCCTTCCTCCGCTACCCTTAGCCGCCTCATGCTACCGTTTCTCTTCCCTGACCTCGCCTCCTTTCCCACTGTTGCTGACCTCGTTACCCACCTCCGTGCTAGTGACACCCGCTACCGCGCTGCCCTTCCTGCTGAGTTCCGCGCTGCGAACCCTCCTCCCATGTACATCACTCTCTACTTTCTCGTCACCCGTCTCCCTGAGTCCCTTCGTGTCGTTAGGGACCAGTTTCTCTCTGTCTGTCCCACCACTCTCACTGTCGACCTCCTTGAGGAGTCCCTGCTAGCGGCTGAGAAGAGTATTGTCGCTGTACGGGCCTCTCGGGGTGACCCTCGCACCCCCATCTTTGAGGGGTGTGGTCCTTCCCCCCTGCTGCCCTCTGTCGCCTCTGCCGCTGCGGCCGACCTCACTGGTTTTGAGTCGGTCGGCGCGGCGTCTGCCCCCAGCGGCAGACGCCGCTCTGGCAAGGGCAAGGGGGGCAAGGGAGCGGGTGGAGCTAGAGGGGGCGGTGGAGGAGGCGGTGGGGGTGGCGGGGGGAGTGGGGGTGGCGGTGGGGGTGGTGGCGGGAGTGGAGGTACTGGTGGCGGCGGTGGAGGCGGAGGTGGCGGCGGCGGTGGTAGCGGAGGAGGCGGTGGGAGCGGTGGGAGCGACGGTCCTGGTGGGGGAGGTGGCGGTGGAGACGGGGGTGGCGGTGGAGGCGGGGGTGGCGGTGGAGGCGGGGGTCGGAGTGGCTTGTCCCAGCGGAGCAGCTCTGGGGGTGGTCAGCGCCAGCAGCAGCAGCAGCAGCAGCCGCAGCAGCAGCCACAGCAGCAGCAGCGCTCTCGCACCGTCCCCGCCCCTCAGCAGCTCCGTGAGTGGTACTTGCAGCGTCAGCGTGGTGGTGCGCTTGGTCCCTGCCCCTACGTTCTTCGCACCGGTGACCGTGCAGGGGAGAGGTGTGGAGGCGCCCACACAGCCCGCCGCTGCTTTGGCCGCCTGACCGACGCCTGGCGTCAGCAGTTTCCGGAGGCCGCTGAGATCCCCCGCTGGGGAGAGCTGTCTAGGGCTGGTGTAGCTATTTATGATCTTGATTTTGATGCTATTCTCGCTGCTATGTATGCTGTGACTGGTAGTGATGAGGATGACTGTTACCGGTGTTTCCCGCCCGACCCGGGCATTGGTACTGCCGCGTCAGGTACTAGTGAGGCTGCTGCTCTAGGTGCCAGTGCGTCTGTGCTCTCAGGTGCTGGTGAGTCTGCCCTCTCAGGTACTGTGTCGGCTTCGGCCTCTCACACCTTCACCCTTGATTCTGGAGCGTCTCGCTCCTTCTTTAGGGACCGCACCACTCTCACGCCGCTGAGTCGGCCGGTTGCGGTGTCCCTGGCTGACCCCTCTGGGGGGCCTGTCCTGTCTCGCTTCTCCACTGTCCTCCCGTCTCCGGCGGCCCCCTCTGGCACCCTGACTGGTCTCTACCTCCCCTCGTTCTCGACGAACTTGGTGAGTGGTGCTGACCTCCAGGATGCGGGTGTCCACCAGTTCACCCCTGCTCG